TGTCGATGCCAGCTTTCAGTCAACAGGTTTAAATATAAGGACACAGATGTTTTTTGTTTAAACAACCCCCCTCTTATCCATCTGTTCTAAGGTTTGAGGGAATAAACAAACATGCCTCTTTTGATCACTGCAACCAATAAGATAAAACTAAGAACATATTTTTGGGAAAGGACCAAATAAAAGGAGATTATTAACTAACCCTTGGGACATATGCTTCTGACGTTGCTTTTGATTAAAAACTCAAAAAATGCACCCACTGTTTGATGGACAGAGTCATTCATCCACTCATCTATCATTCGGCGTGTGCAGGCCTTCGTGTTTCCTGTTTACATACTCATCATTTTACCAGTGCACATGGTGATAACGGTCCCAGAGGATTTCCCATCGATCTAGCGTTTCCATTTACCGTGTTGTTCCTTTTATTCAACTTTATGTAGTGTAAGAAGCTAAATACCACCTTGCTTTTTTTCACAAGTGTTTACAAGATGCATGGCAATAGCACTCCATACACTGGGTAAATGATTATAAGAACCCTCTAGAGCTGGTTTCGTGGAATCCAATTTTGACTCTACTCCCAGTGAGAAAACAGAGAGCGGAAGGAGGGGAGGAGTGGGAGAATATTAACAGACTGTAATAGACTGGAAGGTAAATAGCGAGTGTGTTACGATGAAATGGGCGTGTGTGTGCTCTGCCACAACACACTTGTTGATCCTCACATTCCAGCGGCAGCCTTGGGAGCAGCTAATCCAGTTTTCGTCAAAGGACCCTTGAACCTGGGTCACACTTCTTCTATAACTTGCTCAAGTCAGATGCATGGGAACACACATTAAATGAAAATGTGTGCACAGCAGGCACATGAGACGCTGCATGTATGAATAGTATGGGTGTCTTGTGTTTTATTCTTTGCAAAAAATGTGTTATTCCTGGCGTCCTTGTCTGGGTCTTAATATTTCTCTGAGATGTCACCAGACTGGAAATGTGTGTTCCTGCTTCTCGTCTGTCAGCTCATCTGTGTCTGTCGGTCTTGATTATATCAGTCCATCTCTTTCTATAGGTCTGTCTGTTTGAGTTGTTTTTACACTAACACCTTCGGGCAGGTCATGTACGCAGCAGCTTTTTGCATGTGCTGATTTTCACTTTAAAGAGAAAGCATATAACGCTTATTTTCAGGTTTAATTTCCGTCCCTAGAACCATAGCTTGTTAAAAAATGTGTTTTGTGGTTCACCATATTCCAAATCTAGTATATCTGTGTGCCCTCATTTCTTAATGTTTGGTAGAGCAACATATTCTGGCACAGCTTGTTACATGAGCTTTATCCTACACAAAAACAGACACTTTTCTTGAGACCTTTCACCTTTAGAGACACTCAGTAAAACAGATGACATGATACTCGTTGACCCTTTTGTGAAACTTTCCCTGAAATGTCTAACCCCAAGAAAAATGTGATTTGCCCCGCAGCCTCATGTTTGCCAGTACAGCTAATCATCCTTAAACTGCTATTAAATGCAAATACACTGTTGTTGTTTTTGGTTTGTTTACAACGATAAGCAGGAGATTTGGTTTGTTTTTACCGTAGCAGTGTTGCAAAGGTCAGCCCGGGCGCAACAGCTGTCTAAGGTGTTGAAAATAAGAGCAGGGGATTTCTCCGGCACAATCTGTTCTCATTATTAAGCATCTAGTTTGTGTGCGTGACTCATGTGTGCTGAGCGGGTGTGAGTGCAACCGTCAGTGTGTGTGTGTGTTTGAAGAAATTGATTAGAAAACTCTTAATGCCCAGGATTTGATTAGTTCTGTCTTTGTTCCAGTTCAATACGCCGCTTTGCTGCAAGTCCAGGAGAACATGCTGTTAAAAATCCCTAAACCATGATGTTATACTTCACGCAGCAACGCGGTGATGCCCTCACGGCTTCAACACAAACAGCCAGGAAACACGTCTAACCTTTTCCTGAACCTGCTGACCAACTCCCTTAACATTGCCAGAAAAAAAGAAACCGCTCAGTGAAGCAAAGGAGGAAACTAGGGCAAGAGCTTCAGCCTGTAAATCAAACTCCTTAAAACATCACATATTTTGTTCAGGCCCAGAGAAAGACTCCTTCCTCTGGTAGCACATCTCCCTCGGAAAACAAGCGGATCAGATCTTGCCAGAACTTTCTCCTCTGCGTTTCCTCCGCTCTGTTCTCCCTCGACCATCTCCATAAAAAGACAAGTCTTAGGGAGGGCGGACTTCTCCTTCGCTGTTGATAATAAAACAAGTCGGGGTCTAGAGAGAAAGACGAGTTGTTGTCATGACGAGCCAGAAGTGACGGCTGAGGAACGTGAGGAGGGGTTTTCCTGCCACATATGCAACATTAGAGCAGGAATCCTTTTCAAGTGCCAGATTAAAGAATGTCGAGGGCCCTGTCGCACAACACATGCCGTGATAAGGGTCAACGAGCCTGATATATATTATTAAAGGATAGCGCAGCCTGTGAAAACCTATTTGTACATTTCGAAATGCTTCAGTATCTGTGCGTGCGTTCCTCGTGTCTGCTGACAAAATGTCCACTCCTGCTAAATTTTCACTTTGGGTCAGAGTGTGCCTCGTAAAGCTTGTACTAAATGTAAATCAACACGATGTACCGGTGACGCATGGATGCTTGATGCCATCCGCCCACAAACACTCACGCAAACACACGTGCATTCTCGAGCATCAAGGATAACATCAATTATCTTTCGGATTAACTCAGTAATGATTTATCTACTTCATTTCAATTTGCTGTTTCAGTCAAGGCTTTGTGGCTTTTTCTGCCAGAGCTGTGTGTACTGGGAGTGGCAGGGGAGTAAAACAAACACACCTACTGACTTGGAACAAGGTCAGCAGGTAAGCAGAGGAGGAGGAGAGCGTGTTTGCTCCGTGCTTTATGGAGGGAGGGAAAAGGAAGAATTTGAAGTCTCTGAAAACAATGGAAGTAAACGCTGGGAGAATGTGCAAAGAGGGGAACAATTGGAGACAATAAGGTGATGCTTGTTTAAACAGGTAGCTGCAATTTGGATGACAAGGGTTGCTCGAGGAAGAGTTGTTCAGTTTGGTCAGCGATGAGAGACAGAGCTGAAGAAGGAACAAGCGATAGGGGGGGACGGTGATCCATCATCTCATCAATACTTCCTTTGTGTTTCTCTCTGTCTTCTTAAATCCAGCCACTTACAAAAAATCAATCTCAAATCTTTTCACACTCCTCTTAAACGTTTACTGAGAATGCAGCATTGGATTCCTAAATAACTCCTTCATTAGAATTCTTTGAAGTGTAGAAGTATGACTTTATTTGACGTCCTGGCCACAGCCTCAGGGTTTGGTGGCTCCAGAATTAGCTCACTTAAACCACACTCCTGTTTTTTAATACTTCCTTGTGGTTCATTTCTATGAAGCCATTATGTGATATAATGCACGTGCACATAACTAAAAAACATTCAAAAAAACTTAACAAGTATACTTTTGAAATGATCTGTTAGGGTATTTAGTGATGGTTTGTTCCTCTTTCCGACTTCTCTGCATGAGATGAATCTTGCTTACGTTGACTTAAAAAGTTGCCTGCGTATCACTCGGGTAATCCTCGTAATACTGGAACACAAATTCCTTCCAAGAAGGCAGATGTGATATCAATCGATACTCCATTAGTTCAATGCTCTGACGCCATAAGCAGAATACTTGACACGTCACTGCAAGTGGAATAAATGGGGGGGTACCACGAAGGGAGGATTAAACGCTAGTGTAAGATTATCTCACTTGCTTCTTCGCGGCTCTGTCTCCCGGCCCTCTCCATCCCTGTGTGTCTGCAGTCTGGTAACCTAGAATCTGAAATATGTATCTGTCCTGCGTTTGTTTATGTGTAATCAGATTACCCATTCTGACAGGACTCATGTATATTTTCCATCATGTGTTTATCAAGTTTGCAGAAGGAGACCAGAACTTGAATAAACAAATAAGAGCCCATTTGTCATTTCTTTAGAGGGATGACATACACTGCAGTGGAGGAGGGCATCAAGAACAGTTTGGTTAGTGAACTGAAGATGGTTTGATGCAGTTACTGTGGGCATAGTGAGCCGGCTGCTTTCACACTACAAAGCCCAGAGTCCAGACCACAGCGTGCTGCCAGCCGAGCCAAAGAAAATTGTATTGTTTTCCAATCAATGCTTGCAGCTTTATGAGGGCTTCCAGCCACAGAAACATTGCTCATAAAGAGGAGACAGACCGCTGGAGCAGTCAGCAGAGGATTCCTCACCACCGGGGAGGAGGAGAAGGGGGAGAGATGGAAACACAAGGAGGGAAGAGGGGGCGGATGATAAAACACTAGCATGTGTGCAGGTTTAAATCCACGACACAACTCCATTCCCACATTCGAAATGAACCTGTTCTGCAATCTGCCAAACTTGAGCTCCAAAATGCTGAGGACTTCATTTTGAAGGTGCAGTTCCCATCGCTCCTCTCGGCATTGACCCATATCTGTGTGTTTTGCCCTCATGTGGCCACAGAGCAACAACACCTGTAGCTCTGTGTCTCAGCTGAGCGGTTTGCAGAGCAAAAGTCCCCTCTTCGAGTCAGGAAACGTGTGTGGTCTTGTGTGTTTGCATGCTCTATACACCACATGTCAGGAAGCTTTTGCCTGCAGAGGCCCCTTTTTCTTCACTCAGTTTAAAAAAATGCTGTCACTCATATTTAACAGGGACATGCTTTTTATTTGTTTTTAACCTCAAAGTTAAAGTGATTTCTTGCATATCCTCAAGTCCATGCAAAGCAGTTATGCAAAGGCACAATTTAAGTGTTACGATCTATATTTAATATGCAAAAAGTCATTTTAATGCAGTAGATAAACATCTCTCACTCTGTTCCTCACAAGCACGCACACAGATACACAAATCACGCGCACTCGCATACAACAGAAGGTGTGAGACCTCAAGCCGCGTTATCGTCACACGTCAGGGTCTTTTAAATGTATTTATAGCCAATTAACCGAGTACTTACGAGATAGGAATTTTGCCTGTCGAGGAACACGGAGTCTCCCATGGTGCCGGATAAGTATCCACATATAGTAAACGACCAGAAATGGAGATGCACCAAATGATATCCCGTTAGAAAATAAGTCCGAAAAAGAGTGTGAGCGCGGCTGAGTGGAGCGTAGAAAAACAGAAGTGTCCTCTTCTCCCTCTTCTACATTCAAGACAATCGTTTTCACACTGCAAGTCGCTGCAGCTTTTTAAGAGCTGACGTCTTTACACGAGTCAGAAGCGCGTGTCAGAAAACCAACTGTGCCAGAACGGACACCATAGTGCGTAATGCGTAACGGATCCATACTGCGCGCTCCGTGGACTCGGCTGAAGACAGATGCTGAGCCCAGCGAGAAGAGGCAGAGAGACTTAGGTCAGCGACAGTGTGAGCTAAAACTTCCGGTAGAGATTTTCAAAATATAACCGCATTTGGTCAGGGTTGTATCTTTACGCACAAATCAGATGGCAACTACTGTATTACTGAAACAAATGGTGTAAGAAAAAAAAACGTAATTGTATTTATTTATATTTTTGACATGTTGTGTTTCTTTTTTATAATGCATGGATTGTGGCCTACATGAGATATCTTGTAATTATTTCCAACAGTTGTTTGAATCATCCCAACATTCCCACATGTATTATGCATTTTATTTAAATTTTTGGCAGCATATTTAAGCTATTTAGCACTGAATATCAAAGAGGCAGAGGGGGAGGGAAGTGGCACTAGATGAGGAGGACTAACGGAAGAAGATTTTGATTATCAACTCACATGTTTTCATACCAGTGAACCACCAATGGAGCTGCCTAGACAGTTGATAAGATTGTCTCTGTAAACTCCATATAGGGATGTTCTGGATTTTTGTATGGTTTATGGCAAAGAACTACAACTGTTTTTGTTGTGTGTGACGAGGGAATTACATATGTTATTCTGATCTGTTATTCTGCAAGTCATAGTTTTAAATGACAAAATAAAAGAATAATTCCTGGAAGTTAGCTGAAAAACATCATGCTCAAGTTAAAAACAAACCAATTCATCTTGTGGAAAGTTGATATCCGGAAGATAGAAAGGTTTTTCTAACTGTGACGAATGGCTTGCTGTAGGCCTTATTACGGGAGCAAATAAATCACAGCGGAGAGAATTTACTGGACAAACCGCAGAACCATAACTGTGATCGCTTGCTTCCATTGTAAAAGTCATTTATGGTCACTTTTATTTATGAGCATTCCCCCTCTGAAATCTGCTCTTAAGGGCAAACATGAAAGGCCAGTCCACCACTGGAAGATTTCAGCAGGGGGGGGGGGTGTCTGGGTTTGTGTGATGCTTAATGTGGAACCAGCATTGGGAAATCTGCATCTAAAAACAGAAGCATGCAAAACAAAAAAAGCACAACACGATGTTATCAGTGGCTGAACAATACTCATTCACACACTTGCTTTGCCATGCAGGAGTGTGTTTATTGAGAAAAACACAAACTAACCACCCTCTTTTCTCTAATTGAACAGTACATTTGAGTCAATACGTGTAAGAAAAAGGACATTGAATTGCTCCCTGCTTATCAGATAGCGCCGTAGCCATTTGAAGAATGCTGGGAACTTAAGAGGAACACTTACTTTGCTGTGAAATCTCGAGATAACAAACGGAGCCCAGGCTCAGCAATAAACCAGGCGCATATCCATTGCAGGGCCTCGCTCGGCTTAGTACGGTATAGTTAGGCCAGGCTCACTTTATGATGCGTTTCCATTACAGTTTAGTAGCTGTGTGTATCTCACACAGTCATCATCACAAACATGCAGTGTTATAAAGTTACCCACGACAAAAAAAACCTGTTCTTACAGAGAAAGCTCTTTGAATGGCTCACTGCTTATCAGATCTAAATGAGGTTGGTCAAACATTCGAGGTGTTGTATAAAGTTGCTTGTCTTTAGAGTAAAGGAAATAAGGACAGAAGGTGGAGCCAATAACCCTTTATGTTGCTCTCTTCAGCCGCATGCATTTTATTTGGGATTAAATAGCTACTGATGTGAGGTAATTGTTTATTTGTGACACTGATAATGCAGAAAACCGAGTTAGTTTGTTTCATAATTAACTGCGTTGTGAAGTCGATGAAGGTTGTTCTAGACCAGGGGTGTCCAACTCAATTTCATCGCGGGCCACATTCGCATAAAGTTTGCACTCAAAGGGCCGGTTGTAACTATATAAATATATGATATATATATATAATAATGTATTATATTACATTATTGCCTCTGAATTGGATTATTATCGGATAGGATAATAACTTAGTAATTAACTACGTCTGAAAGGCAGCAGAAGTCCAGGGCAAATAATTGCAAGTCTCTTCAGTGCGCATGTCACAAAATGAGATGCATTGTGGGACATGTAGTTTAAGGGCAACCTGCTTCTGTAAAGTGGCATGTAACCGTATAATAAACGTATTATATTCCTTGCAAGCTCTTGTGGGGCCACAGAAAATGAAGTCACGGCCCGGATTTGGCCCCCGGGCCTTGAGTTTGACACCCCTGTTCTAGACCCTGCACATGTGTTGTCAACTTGGTGAAGATGTTTCTTTATTTGCATGAGTTTCGGCACATGTGTGTTTTTAATTTGCATAGTTGTTGCTCCTGTTGGCCACCGGACATAATCATGCACTTCCCATCTAACCTCTAAGCTTGACTTTACTGATCCTAGCCAAGTTGCTGACGCATTTCGTTTTAAAATAGCAGCAAAAAACACAAATAAAACTGATTAACTATTGTCAAGTGAAATAATGATCTTGTTGATGCTTCCTGGAATAAAATAGTCCTATAAAACGCACATGTGATTTTAATACAGCCCCTCCCTTGGGGACAGAATGGAGGGAATATGAAAGGAAGGAGAAACAGGAATGTATGATTTTTCAGTCAAAACAGTGACTGAAGTGCAGTCGTGAGGTTGGAAGCTGTGTTTTATGGTCCTGTTGGAGACCCTTTGTTTCCTAAAATGGAGTTTCAATTGTCCCAGTAGGACCATGGCTGACACACACAATACACAGAGCCGATGGGAGTGAGAGGCTGCTGGAGAAGGAGAAGAGGGAGGAGAGGAGAAGAAGACGTGTGTTTCTCCACGCATGTTGGCCGCTACGAGCTACTACTGCACGTTGCAACACAATTGAATGGTTTTAAAGCCAAACTGTCTGAATCTCCACGTCCCTTCATCTGGCCATCACTTCTCATATCATCTTGAATTTGTTAAAATGATGCTGAAATGAGCCCCCCTTGTGATCATATATCAATTTCAAAGCACGCAGGATTTTCCACTGTTGAATTTGGCGCGGCCTTTTTGTGCTGATATATCACATCCCTGCTATTAAAGTGTTGATCTGGAGGAGAAGTGGAGTTTAGGCAACAAAAGAGACAGTGAGGAGTAATTACAGCGATCTTCTTTTCCTCTCTGTTAAAACAATTATTTTACTGTTAACACGCGTGGCCACTCTTTCATTCCTGAGCTTTTTAATGCAGGCGGGCTGCTCATGTTTACATCGTCCCGTCGGGAGGTGCAGCACCCTCCTGCAGAGGCCGGATGCCTGAGTTGTGAAATCACTCCATCGTGCGGAAAGTATTCTGTTAAAGTGCTTTAAGACGATCCAGTAAATGACAGAGACAGAGGCCTTTCGATCTGTTTAATAAACACTCATAAAATACATGTCGCAAGGCCCAGATTGAAGTGTTTGCATGTGTTGCATCACATTCACGAGCTCGCATGAAGTCAGAGTTCATTAAAGGGGCCCAATTAAGCTAATTATGCTAATAATGCTAAAGTCAATATAAGTAAATGACAACTGTGCCCTTGGTGGAGAGGAGAAATGAGTGAAACTACGGAGTGTTTTCCTTGGTAGCTCGTAGTGTTTTACTCTCTCGTCAGACGATGAACTTTGACCTTGGTTTCACAACACACCGTGTAGAACGAGGATAAGAGAAAGAAAATGAGCGAAAGGGGAGAGGGGTGGGGAGGAATGGTAAAAACTGGGCACACATAAACGAATTTACAGCAGGAGCTGCACAAAGCAGCTCTGGGGGATGACCTTACAACTGGGGAATGTGAGCGTGTGTGTGTGTGTGTGTGTGTGTGTGTCTGAGCTGCCAAGGCACACGNTACAGCAGGAGCTGCACAAAGCAGCTCTGGGGGATGACCTTACAACTGGGGAATGTGAGCGTGTGTGTGTGTGTGTGTGTGTGTGTGTGTGTGTGTGTGTGTGTGTGTGTGTGTGTGTGTGTGTGTGTGGAAAAGAGAGAGACAGTGCTGCACTCCTTCACTTTGGAGGTAAACACAGAAGACACACAAACAAATAAATTAAGGAATTATGTCTCTCAATCTACCTCCAGAGAAGACCGACGGAAAATGTGTTTTTTTTAGAGGAGCTGCTCATCCACACGACACACACACACACACACACACACACACACACACACACACACACACACACACACACACACTCACACACAACGTGACGACAGCGCTGGTCTGGATTCAATCTGGGCGCTTCTATCAACAGGCCAACCCAGTTGTCCTAAATCTCCATACTCTGTCCTGAGGGCCAATAGACAGAGAGGAGGGGAGAGAGGGACAGGGGGGGGTGGAAGTGAAGAATTTTGGGTAGTCTTGCAGCTCGCTTATATGGCTTTCATCTCCATACCACCTCCATTAAAGTGTGTGCGAAGTAAAAATGCTTGGACCTGATCTGACTTTGCATGATGGAGAAATGTGTTTGCAGGAGGAATGTGGATTTTTCTAAGTAAGAAGGGGCAATTTGTTGAGTTTCTGGTTGCAATTTGGATAAATAGGGTTTGCACAAGAAATAGGGCAGCTGAGTGACGAGTCTGGTGAGTGTCACAGGTTAGTTGTACTCAGTACGTGGACAAGATAGTTTGTAAAATGATACGTTTGGAAAACCATCGTAATGCCAAATCAACATCCAAAGGACAAATATTTAAAACCGACTGTGCCACATGGGATTGGAAGAATTGATTCAAACTGCATTTAGAAATCCTCTCATTTAAGGAAGAATGTGAAGAAGAAACAACAAGTCTGCCTCAAACTGCGAGGACAATCTGTCATTTGTCCACGGAGTAATCTCACGTCATCTATTTTCGTTGCTGTTGAGGAGAAATTGATTGAAACCAAGATAGGTGGCGTAGGAATCTGAAACATTTGGCCAAGTCTTATACAAACGTTCTTATTGTAGTCCGCCTGTTGATTGCCCATTTTGTTACACCAAGCTCTCCAAACATGAGGCACCGCTCGCTATCAAATGTCAACAGTCATTCATCTTATACAAATGCTTTTGTTTCTGTTTTGGGT